AACACCTCACTCTATGTGAGTCTCAGCAGGTTACATTTGCTTATGCTGTAGCAAATGAGAGGTGTTGGTGTGCATCAGGGAGTCAAATGGTTTGTCTGCTTAGTGTTGACAAGCGCTTTTCTTAACGATGTTTGGTAAATAATCTATTCTCTGTTACCCTTCTTCTTCCCCTTTAGCCAAAGAACACAAAATTCCTTCTCTTTCCCCCTCTGTATGTATTTGGGCAAGTGTTACTCATGATTCAGTTTGTAGCTGTCTCCAGAAAAATGTTGAGGTGGGGGTGGTGATGCTAATGGGAACTTCCAAAATGTCCTTCATTTGATCCCATGAGTTAATTTTAACCCTAGCAGATTAGCATTTTAAATAAATTGCATTAATCCTGCGTTACCTACCTACAAGTATCCATTTAAGATGTAACTCAGATATGCTCATAACTCGTGAAAGGTGAAATCAGGAGTCTAACCATGGTGGGAGCAGTTTGTGAAGGGAGGCATTGACAGCATGAGGTCTGTTCTGGTCCTGTTTGCTCTCTTTAGCTGCAAAAGAATTTGGAAAATGCCCCATTTTAAGAGTTTGATTTTACAGGAGTGAGGTATTGAAGTGTCCATGGGATGCTCCAGTATTTCTCCTGGGACTATCCAGATAAAAAGTTAACTATGCAGGTGACTGGGAAATGCAGGACCCGGACCTCACTCTGTTTATGACCAAGAAGTGTCATAGCTAGACTGTATATTCTAAACCCCAGATGTGGCATTCTTAGAATGAGTGTACTGTATGGCTATCTTTCCGTTTGCAAAGACAAATGAGGCTTCTAGCCCATATAGGTAAATAATTTTCTGGGACAGCATAAGCTACATAATAATGAAAAGGGTTTGCCAGCTTGGCTGTATTTTTCTGGGGAAAAAAAGCTTTTTGCCTTTTGCTGTTGTTACGCTCCTGATTAACTTAGTTATTCTAGAAGTCTGCTTTAGCCCCCAACCTTGCCTCCATTCAGTTTACATCTCACTAGGGTGAAGTCCCAGGAACAATCCCAGTGCTTTGGATGCATCACTCTTTCAGGTAATACTGTAAAAGAAAAGTCATGAAGATCCTGTGTCAAGTTCTGCTAGGTATAGAGGTCAGCCATGATGTAGCTGGTCAAGCCTTCTGTTCAATGCATTGTTCTGCTCTGACTTGTGTAGTTACCACTTTCTTCTCCAAAGGAGCTGCATTTTAAATTAAACTAAATTGAAAGCGCTCTAGCAGGGTGGCACATCATTGGCCTAAGCGGAACACCAGCAGTGAATTGCAGTGGTTGTTCTGTATGAACCTGACACGCGAGCTCACAGAAGTTTGCTGCTAGTGTGTTCTGGCATTCTTGTGGGTGAAGGGAGTTATGTAACTTTTAAACTAGATTGCTTTGTCTTTTTTTCCCTATCTGCATTTTGATCAAGCTGAAGCTTAAACTTAATAAAAGACCTGTCTGGAGGAGGACATGCCATTCAAGAACCAACAGCCAGCGTGGATAGAGAATCTCTTCTCAAACATGTTTTGAAAAAAAAAATCTTTTGAGAAAATTGTTTGCTCCGTTTATTGTCTTTAATTGACTACCTGGCCCGGGCTGCATTCAGCCATTTCTGGATGAGTTCTTGAGAGCTGTTCTAGTGTGTGGCCATTTCTTGAGTGTGTGCAAGCTTTGAAATCTGTTGAACTTTCCCTTCAGAAAAACTCTTACAGGAAAAGAGTCCCAAAGGATCAGTGATACAGGAAAGAGAAGCAGACTCATTAACAGAAGAGTTTTGTGAACTCATGAAAGATGTGCTTTCAGATTTCCTGAGCAGTCTGATCTGCTGTGCATTATCTACACATAATTTTGAGAAGGTCTGGAGCTGACAGAGGAGTGATATTCCTGGAGCAGTAGTATATTCATTAATAACCTAGTGACCTTTGCTTATTCCTGTCCCTACTCCCAAGTCTCAGTTGTGGTAGGATAAAAGCTCAGTCAGACAAGTTAAAGTGAATCCTTTAAAGGCCTGAGCTGTACCATTTGGAGTCAATGAGAGGAACAATAAAAAACGTGTATGTGAAAGTGACTCCTTGCTACCAGGCTGTTATCTTGGGATTGCTGTTACACTAGAAACACTGAGTCCAGGATGAGACGGGACCTTTTTAAGGGGGAAAATTTTGGTCCACTCGGATGTTACTGAAGAGTCATTCAGAGATGTCTTCTAGCACGCAGAGAATACATTTGCTTAACAAGCTGGCATCGTCTTCCCAAATGCAGCCCTAGAGTTGCCTTAAGTACAGTGTTGGTGCCATGAAATAAACCACCTGTGAAGTCTGCTGAGGAGCTGGATGGAAACCATGGCTTCTGGCTATCGTTTGGACCAGCTTAATGCGCTCTGGAAAAAAAAATTTCACACGTCATATCACACCGGCTGAAAAAATAGCGTACATCAGCAGTGCTGTAACACAGAGTAAAGGACTCGCAGCAGGTGTTAACGTGCAGAGGCACGGAGCATTATGGTAACACCTGTGTTTGTCTAAATCCAGCCAGAACAATTTCCTCTCCAGTTGTAGAGGAGGATTAAAAAAAAAAAAAAAATCTACCTAACTTCCAGTAGTAGCAGACATTTCCTGTAAAGCAATTTGCATAGTATTTCCCATGGTGCACTCTGGCTGCACTGTGGTTTTTCTCTTTAAACTTTTTTAGTCTGGGGACACCTTTGGTAACTTCAGTGACCCCCAACCATCTCTTTGTCTCTCGCCAGTGCTGCCAGGCCCGAGCAGTTGCAGATGGTGTGCTCTCTGAGTGCTTTCCTTAATTGAATGAAAAATAAAGCCTCTTGTAAAATATTACCAATTTAGATGTGACTTATGGGGCACATATGATGCTTATTTTTTCAATTACATGAAAACTTGGCATGGTTAAACATAGGAAGCCAAGTGTTCTGTGAAGCTGGTATGGATTTCTGGATTTTTAGGTGATTTTGCTTTAAATTATTATGTAGCAGAAGGGGGTGAAGGAAGTCAGCAGCTAAACTGTGTTTTCCCAGCATGTATTTCACTCAGTGGACCCTTGATGCTCATTTCATGACTAATATATGCTGCACTATATGCATTTCTTGTTGTCACCAGAGATAACATTAAGTAAACTATCCCCTTAAGAAAAACAGCTTTTCTTGGCAAGTGGAATGTGACTCAAGGAGCCAGCACTGGAGACATACGGTGCTGTGAATGAGTGCTGTGTGTTACTCTACTGGATCTGAGTCCAGGCACTATTTATACTGCAGCATATTCAGCACCAGATTGTTAAATCTTAATACTGAAACAGTGCATCATTTAAATGTTTTTGTTCTGTTTATGTCCCATTTTCAAGCATTGGATATCAAGCAACACTTACTAACTTTTTGTTTCATTTGGACAAGATCTCCCCTTGCCAAAAGCTTTCTAATCTGCTCTTGAAATATTAGCCCATCTGTACCAGCATGTTACAGTGAAACTTTGTGCCGCTGAGGATGAACTAGGTCACTTCCAGTTTCTTTCAGTATGTGGTGATAGAATACCTTGCAAAGCAATAAGTCAATGGTAAATGCAAAGATTTAAGTGCTAGAGAAAGGGAGTAGCACTAAAATTATTTCCTTTTCAACCTGTGTAGGAATGGGGAAAAAAATATTCCGTAGCAGTTATTTCATGGACTCATAAGCATTGTGTTCTGTTGTTTTCTCTGTGCGAGAACCTCTGTTTCACTGTTTCAGAGGTGGTACTAATTTTATGATCATGTTTGGGAAATCAGGGTAAAAGGCCTTTGCCATTTATTTCAGTTTGGTTAGTTCCAGAGCTGGTGAAGAACTGCGAGGAGAAAGTGAGGAGGGGAGGGTTGAAGTTTCTTTGCATTACAGCATCCTTCCAGAAACCCAAGGAGGGTTCTTGGAGCTCCTGTTACCACAAAGGAAGTAGTTTTCTCATGTATTAGTGTATTTCTGGCAGTAGAGTTTACAGATGGTCTTTTTGAAGATCAAAAAGTATATAAGCAGACCTCAAAAGGCATCAGTTTAAATGGGAGTCTCGTAGGGCTGTGCTGAGAAAAGTTATGTGAGCACAACAGTGGGGCAGTGGGAACACGGTGGAAGAGGGAAGAAAAGCAGTATTTGCGATAGTGCAGAAGAAGGCCGAACTGCTTTGCTCTCATGTAAGATGGCACTGTGGCTTGCTTTCTTTGGCGTCTTCCTGAAAGTCATTCCCGGGTATTAGTCATTGTTTTTGGTGTGGGTGGGCCCTCTGCAATTGTCTAAACAGAAATAATACCTCTGCACCAAATGGTTTACCATCCAAGTTTACAGTCTTTGTGACAAGCTCATCCAGAAGAGGTGATGATCCCTATTAAAAAATGAACAGAAGTAGAAATAGAACTTACAGCATTCTCTCCCGCCCCCAAAGTGCTATTTTGGATCTGTGGTCAGTAGCTTGTAGTTGGTTTTTTTTCACAAAGAAAAGCAACTGTCTGCATAGTGCAACTTGTAGCTGGGAGTGAATTCTTCCTGCTTGGTGGGTTTTCAGTGCCATCCATCCACACTGGGAATCGTACCATGCTTAGATTGTAACTGCGTGCTGAAAGCCCACACATAGGAATTTTCCTGTTCAAGTCAAAACCAATGCATTTATTTACTGAAGGGTTTCATAGACTGCAAAATCAGGACTATAGAGTATTTAAAGCTTGTTCTAACTTAGAGAACTAGGCTTTAGTGGGATGATGAAAGATGTGAAGAGAGGAAGCCTCCTGTGCTTCCTTGAAGCAATTTAAGAGCCAGGAACATGTCAGCAAGTATCTGCTAAGAATTTAAAATCTATTCCTGTTCTTCCCCATTGTTTGCTTCAGGAGTCAGTACAACACATCTTTTTGAGCAAGACTGCAATTAACCTCAAGGCAGATCTTGAATCTCGTGAACAATCAAGCTTATCAAAGGGTTTAGTAAATGGCTGATAAAATATAAAGCACAAAATTTTTGTTTTCTTTTCAGGAATAATCAAGCTTGGGAGGTGGAATCCCCTTCCTCTCAGTTATGTGACTGATGCACCAGATGCGACAGTAGCCGATATGCTACAAGATGTCTATCATGTTGTGACATTGAAAATCCAATTACAAAGGTGGGTGTTTCTGAACATCTGTCCTTCTCTATTCTCTGAGCTGCTCTGTCGATTACAGTGTTACTACAGAGATTAGCACATCCTGTCTTCATTAATTTCTGGTCTTTTGATGAAATGAAAAGGAAAATGAAGAGAAGGGTGGGTCACCTGGCAGCTTTTTGGTGCATGTTCCCACTGATTTTGTATGTTTTCTGAAGTAGCAATATGGTGGCAGAGAAGGGAGGGCTAGAGATTCAATCAAATTAAGATATGGGGCCTTTAAAGGCAGACCTTTCCACAATTCCTAATTTAATGGATTCTTGAGGCCTTATTGTATAAAAAAAATAAACTCCTTGCCTTTTTCCAGGGGCCGCATTGTGAGAATCCAGGTCTTCTACTGCCAGCTGCTGAGATGGGGTGGAGGGGAGCTTTTTGACTTTCCTTTTTTCTCCAGTGGTCTTCCCAGTGAAAAAGCTAGAAGATGAGGGAGGGATGTGTTAATACAGCTCCATTTGGCATTTTGAAAATATTTTCCTTCCCTGAATGCTAGTTCTGACTAGCAAAGCAAAAGCCCCTGACACTTTTACACTTACTTCCCCTCCCTTGCCCGCCCCCCCCCCCCCACCCTTTCTCCCCCTTTCTCTCTGTGGGCCTTCAAAAGAGTCCTCAAAAAGTTACTGATGTCTGTGTGAGGAGTTGCAGCAGTTCCCTGGTAGTGCATGGCATACTCTAGACCTGCTGGTAAGCCTACATTGCAGAGGCTGCTGTAGCTTTATCCCCAGAACATGTCAGAGGAAAGAGGCAAAAATAACAGACAGCCTGGAATAATTTGTCCACAATTCTTTGAAGCTCAGCTTGAACAGAAGAGGGGTCCATTGGGATGTGTGACTGTGTCCTTTGGTGGCAGGTACATACACTCCAACTGTTCAGTTCAGTTTGAAATATGGAAGTAGTGGGTGCCTCACTGATATTAACCTCCCAAACAGCGACATTTCTTTCCTGTTACATCTCTGATGTGGCTTGGGGTTTTCAGTTCCCACTAACAGGCCTTTCCTTGGTTTTATATACCGTTATCATTTCTCAGCTAGACTGCATCTCTGCAGCATAGTTATAAAAGAACATCTAGAGCCTGTAGCTGCTATAAAACTGGAGTGCAGTAACCCATCTCCTCAGAAGTATGAGCTACCAGGAGTCCACCTAGCCTATTGCCACATCGGTATTACTGAGGGGTATCAACCCAAGATCAAGGTCTCGTTCTTCATCTTCAGAGTGCTTGAATGCCTGGATGCCATGTAAATAAAAGATAGCCCATGACTTTGAGATAAAGGTGGTCATTGACTACTTGAACTCCTCAAGCACAGCTAAACTTTCAACTCTGAGGGTAAAGCCAGGCTGCGTAGGCAGAAGACAGAACCACCTCAGAGGTTGATTGGAGAGCGTGCATTAAGTCTCTCAGGCATGAATGGCAATGACAAGCTTCTCCCAGCTTTCCGATGTGCTTCTTGGGTCTGTCCCCATGTATGTAGACACAGACCATAAGCTTGTTAAGTTAAAAGAGGCACAAGTCATATGAAGACAAAAGCTTCACTACATATGCAATTCTTGTAGAATGAAAGTGAGAATGGACTACATGTGACAGATGTTGGGCATATGGCTTAATGTCTTTCTGAAAGGCTCTTGGATACTTCCGCAATGAGGGCAGTATGAGAATGTGTATAAAATGAAATTCATTTTTCAAAGCCTTGCCTCCACACAATGAGGGCCCTTACTGTTTAGGGATTTTGTTAGTGGCTGTGTGGCGTATATGTTTATTATTCTGTCCCAGTAGGAGTATCTTTCTCCGTCTGGAGAGGATGGCTTTATTCAGCCATTTCTGGGGCTTGCTTTATGCAGTTTCTTTGCTCTCCACCAGGCCCCAGAGGGAATGGTTATGCACACATACAATACCAGAGCAGGATTAGCTGCTATTCCTGCCATGTACTGTCATTCTTTTAGTTGAACTGCACATCTTCTGGGAGTCAGGCTTGGTGGGGAAGGGAAAGAGGGAAGAACACCTTGATGGGCTGGCTAAGCTGGAAACTCCAAGGTTGTGCTCGCTGCTTAAAGGTCTATAGCACTTGTATGCAAAGAGTAAGCATCTGCGAAGGTGATGTTTCTATCTACTTTTTGCTTTCTGTTTTAACAGTTGTTCAAAGTTGGAAGACTTGCCAGCAGAGCAGTGGAACCATGCCACAGTTCGCAATGCCTTAAAGGAACTGCTCAAAGAGATGAATCAGAGCACATTAGCCAAAGAATGCCCTCTCTCACAGGTCAGTGTTTTTAGCATGCTTAGGGAAAGCCAGACTTACAAGATCTAAAGCTCATACTTGTTCAGTAAAGGGCTTAAACTAAACAATTCCATAAATACTGAATCAATTTGTTTTCTTTAGAAAGGAGAAATTCTAATTAATATGAAAAAGAGTATCTTTATACCATGTTTTCTCAGTGGGTTGCCACGTGGAAATTATGAATGAATTGGTTGGTTTTTATCCTGCTGTTGAGAGAGATGTAAATTCTTTATTTAGATCTTTATGTGAACCTTTTGCAATAGGACTAGTGATCCTCAAATGCAAGATTTGAGTGGCTTCTTCCCACTAGCAGAGACCCGCCTCCCCCCCTAATGCGTAGGTAGCTCTCCTCAGCCTCCAACTATGATAAAAAGTATGCTGTTTTAACAGTTGTGCCCCAATTTCTAGGAAACAGCAACAAAAAATGTATATGTAATTATGTTAAAAAAAAGAACAAAACCTCACTCTCATTCTCCATGACTGCTTTTTAAACGGCAGTGATGTCATGTCTAAGACACAAGTTCCTGCAGATATCATGAGTTTTATTTGTACTTCAGGTATAATGAGAGACTCATAAAATTTTCATGACTGAGTCCTCCTTGCCTCTCAGAAAAAAACAGAAAAACACTTCAGCACCCAGACCAAGTAACTTTGCTAGGACTGAAAAATACGTTGCTTTCTAAAAACTTTATTAGAATCATAGGTTAATCTGTCGATTGTGTCTTAAAAAAGTCAAAACATCAGTAATGCCTACTTCCTAAAAATCTGATGCTTTGCTAGCCCATATCCAACATTTTTTCTCCTGTGGTTGCCTGTCTTACATTGCACTGTACGCTCATCCTGCAATTCATGATCTAAAGCGTCTGTGAACTAAGAGAATTCTTTCTATGTATAACCAGCACAAATTTGCCTCACTGCATTATGATTACAACTCCAGGGAAAGCGCAGAAGTGAGATACAGAGCAGAATTTAGGTCTTTGCAATTGGTAGGAATCACGTTCGTCATCTTCCTTAGCCATGTGGGGTGTGCAGAACTAACAGGAAGGAAAGGCTGCATAAGGAAAAGCCATGTAACTTGCCTTGTTTACTAAAGAAGCAGCAGTGACTTTAGGTATGCACAGAGTGTAAGTGCGTTGAATACGAAAGTATTTTTCTTTTCACACAGTTTAAGTGTAATTTCTTTAAATAGAATTATCTGTGGAATCTGGTCAGCTAATGATGATTGCAGCATATGGTTGTCTCTGCCCAGTCTTCTTAAATATTCAGTATAACTAAACTATGCATCATTTCATATACAGAATTCATTTGTTGTCTGGGTCTTTTTCCTCCCACTTCAGTTTCAAAGCCTACCAGGTGGAAATGCTGCAGTTGGTTTACTCCTTCTATAGCCTCAGTCTGAAATATATTTACAAAATTACTTATGGCAGAACTGTAGCAGCAAAAATTCTCACCCCAGTGTTTATTCAGTGGACAAAGCTAAAAGGAGATCCTTCTCTAGAAAACTGAGATTGCTTACTTTTAAGCACAGGTGTAAGTGACCTTGAGTAGTGACTAACGCTTGAACTGGGACTGCAAGAATGCAGCTTGTATTATTATTATTATTATTATTATTATTATTATTGCCATAAAAAGTTTCAGTCTCTTTTGTTTTGGCTCACAAAATGCAGAAGATACAATGGAAGGTTGTATAGGAGCTGTCTGTTACCATCATCTGAATATGCCTCTAATACAATTCCTTCTCCCAAATCAGTTTTAAAAAAATACCATGCCAAATGTGAAATGTCATTACAACCCCCTTGTGGTTAATATATTATTGACAGCAGCAAATTGCAGAGTGGTCTCTTAGGAGTCAAACTGCAGAGTAAATGCTTCTGTTTATTAATGTGTTCACAGTGCCTCAAGTACAGAAGTGGAGGGGGCAGCGCAGGGAGCTCTCGCTCCCACCAGTGACGGTGCTCCGTCTCTGGTTCTCGGTGCCCGAGCTCTCCATGCAGCCCAGATGGGGATTCTGATTGCTGCTAATGGGAAATGTAATCATTCACTTTGATTTAAAATTGTTCTGTTTTTTTCTGCTAGGTGTATTATGTGGCTGCAGCTTAGCTACCCTTAGCATACAGCTCCTGTTCAAACAAATAAATCCCAGTTAACCAAGCTGGGGGGAAGGAGGGTAGGTGGGGGGAGTCTGTGTGGCAGAAAGAAATCCAATTATTTCAGCATTTCCATCTTTGCATAGAGGCCTCTGTCTTTCCTCTATATTGTGTAACTCATCTCAGCACTGACCATGCGTTTTGTCTCTGCTGGAGCAAGATTTCTTGGGATGTGAGCATGTGCCATAGTTTTTCTCCTTGACCTTACTGCACCAGATTTTCTTTGTGTGGATATTTCTTAGCTCCTGGTCAAAACAGTTTTCATTCCACATGGCTGTCATGGCCACACACATACCAAATGTATCTGCTACTTCATATAATCTTTTCCTTCCTTAAGGATTTTCCCAGGAATAACATGCATTATTTAGAAATTTGCAATTAGTCAGTGGGGTTTTTTGCCACTCTCTTCTGAATGGATGTTTCCTCTCTGCAGACTTATCACGATTCCTAGCAGAAATACCCCTAGGACATTTAATAGTGAGGATGTGTAGTTTGAAAGTTGTTATGGTTCTTTCCCCTGCTCTACTGTCAAACAGTTGAAGAGAATCTGTCCTGTGATTTTTCACCAATGGTTGATTTACTAGTTGATTTTACTATTTAATTTAGGCTTTGCTTTCACAAATAAAGGTTAATGGGTTAATATATTCTGTGATATTTAATAGCCCTACAATTTCAGTAATGTCAATTTGTTGCAGAGCTGGAGGATTTGGTGGAGGGGGAAAAAAAAGGAAAAACCAAACTGTTATGTAGACAGAGCTAAACAGTTTCCCCACCCTTCCTTAGTGACTGGAAATTTAACTGAAGTGACACTAAAAAACCCCATGTTATCTCAGCTCAACTTTGTTCAAAATCCTTAGCAGAGGCTATCTCTGTGTCAGGCTTTCAGAATACGACTGCTTGTTAAAATGACTTAGAGCAAGGGAGGATTTATGGGGAAGGAATTGCTGCTGACTGCCACAGTGCTAGGTTTATGTCTCAAAATATTGATTTTAATTAGAAAATTGAATCTTAGTTTTAGAAATTGAAGCTGCTACTTAAAGGCTCTTACTTCATAGCCTTCAGACTCTACTGCAGTGTGCCATAGCAGCCTTCGAGTGGAAAAGTTACAGTGAAAAGGCAGAAGAGCCTCTTTACTGAAAGTGAAATTACCTGTTGAAGACTAAAACTAATCTGCACCACCCAGTTATCTTAAGTCTCTCAGTTTTGCTCACATTTTTTAAGTCCCCAAACCTCAAGAGTTCAGGAACAGCTGGAGTCCTGTGATATTGCAGTGAATTGGTTAGAAGGCTGGATAAATCTGGAAGAGAGAGGGGATGTTTCTGTTTTTAAAGCATTGTTAAAATCTGGTAAGCCCATGTCTAAGCCTTGTAGCTTTCAGAGATGGCCAAGATCCCATTTTGCACCAGAGCCTGCAGGAGCCGGTGGGCCAGAGCTTGAACCTACGGTAAATAGCTTGTTCGAGCTGTGAGATTGTCCTCACTCTCTCATCTCTTGCAGAAAGGTCATACAATGTGCCAGGGCTTTTTGTGAGCTTTGACATAAGTGAGGAAGGAGGGCATAAGGGAAATGCGGTTTCTGGAGAAGGTGCACATTGGCTCCCATGTGTTAGTGGTGTTAGATTGCATTTTCTTGCTGGAAATGTACATGTGCTGGAAATGATTTGACCCTAGAAGAGTTCGGAGAGGGGAAAAGGAAAGCAAAATGTGGTTGTTAAAAAGATGCCTCCTCTGTAGAATGAAGGGAGGGGAAAAAATAGTAAGAACTACCAGTAACCAGGCTCTTTCCCACTCTATGGGCGGAAGCATCCTAAGATATAAACTGTCATTTTTATGGATATCAGGTACTGCAAAACAACTCTGCACCTCTTAGCTTCAGTTGGCTTGTACTAAGAGTTGCTTAGAGAGAATTTGCAAAGAGTAGAGACGGGTGGTGGTTAAGCAAGCGATATTTCGGTTTTGTTGAGCTTTTTTGTGGTTTTTTTGGCTGCTCTGTATTGTAGTATGCGTAGTTCCCTTCGCTCTGGATGGCACTGTTAATTTCTCTTTTCGGTGATTTTTCACACAAGGGCTAACCACACGTTTCTATAAATTATATTAATTTAACTTATTTGCCTAACTGTTGTTCTGCAGCAAGTAGCACGGATGTTCTCTGATTCTTGGCTGTGTGGTCTTGCTGCATTTGGAAGCAGAACAGACACATCTGAAAAGCATTATTTGGATTATGCATGCTGGAGCATCTAATCTTACCTTTAGGATCTGGTTCCTAAATCATGCTTGTTCTCACCCTGGTGCAGTGAGCATGTGTTCCCCAGCATGGCACCGCCTGTTGTTATGCAACTAAAGTTTAGATACTGTAATATCACAAGTACAAAGTAAAGTAGAACTGCCCCCCCAATGTGAGCTGCAGGTCTCAGCCTAGGTTCGTACTACATATTTTTTGCTTTATTATGCAAAATAATAATTATCATTTTGTAATTTTAATTATGTCTTGGAATATAGAATGGAGAATAAACCCAAAGTTTTGTACTCATCAGACACTTCTTTTGGTTTTAAAGTCACAAATGGATGATCATGGTGCACTTGCATGTCATTCGCTTTCCCTGGAAAAGATTTCTAATTGTGCAAGATATTTTAAAACACTTTTTGTCTTTCTTTCTGTTACTTCCAGAGTATGATTTCATCCATTGTAAATAGCACATACTATGCCAATGTGTCAGCAACCAAGTGCCAGGAGTTTGGGAGATGGTACAAAAAGTACAAGAAGATTAAAGGTAAATTGATTTTTTTGTGACTTTCCAAGTTCTTGAACTTCTGCTGACAGTTTGAGATTATTTGCTTTAAGTAAAAGTGATAATAAGGTACAATAATATTTGTGAATTTGTCTACAAAGAGGGCACAGTTACAGCACATTTGAAATTAAATCTGATACTTTACAAACAAGGCTGGCATGAAAACACAGGCCACTTAAAACATGCTTAAAATATCCCATTTAGCGGTGCTGAAAGATGAACTCTGTTTTGAGTTAAGCTAAAATGTTTTGCAAAAAAAATGTTCTAATATCTCAGGATTTAAAAGTTAAATTGCTATGTAAATTACCTGAGTTGCATTTTATTCATGAAAGCTAGAAGCCTGTCCTTCTAAGTTACATGTGCCCTTGCTCTCTGTTTTCAATATCGCAAAGTGTACTGGCATTCCTGCCATGTTTTGTCAGGTGGAATCTGGATACCAGTAGAGGATTTAATACCTGATTGTTAGGAGACATGGCTAAATAACAAGGTGCTGCACCCACTGAAGTTAAGATGAAAATAGCCCATTGTTTGTGTTTTTTCTACAATGAAATTGTGTTAGCTGGTTAGCAGTGAATGCCTGAGGCAGTAAAATTATTCTATGTAAGTTCATCCCACTCTCAGCAGTGAAATGTCTGATCACCTTCTAATAGTACAGGAAGTGATGTAACAAGCATCCGTTGTGTGTAGTTTGTTCTTTTATTCATCCTTTCCTTGGGGAAGGAACTTGCGTGTGTACTGGACCATTTGTTTGGTAGGTTTTTTGTTTTAAAATGCACCTGTGCTTTGAGCAGGAGTTTGGGGATAGTCAAAAGCTTTTCCACAATACCAACTGGCTCCTCTCTCAGCAAATGTCCATCAGCCTCGGAGATTAGCTTTACCCTGTGATAGGGTTTTCCCATAGTTTTTCTCTCTGCTACACTACTGAGGGGAAGACTCATTGTCTGAAAGAAGATGTAGGCTATTTTTGTTGTTTCTGTCTGTGATCCTTTCAGTGGCCAGGAAAATCATAACAGGATTCACAAGCATTATGCAGAAATAGGGTAATGTCCTGTCCTTCTTGAGAAGCCATTGTATTTTTAGTTGCATGAAGATTAGCATCTTTCAAAAAGAGTCTGCTGTCTTTTTCTCTTAAAAGGCTGGCATACATGAGCTATGAAAGGTTGCTTGTTTAGTTTCCATAGGACAGGCTAGAAATCTGCATAATAATACCATGAAGAGTCTGCTGCTTGAGTTAGGAACACATGGAACAAAATTGCATAAAATATCAGAACAAGTTCTGAGGCGTCTGGTTTTCCTCTGCATGTCTGGATTGCGCGGAGTATACCTGTAAGACGCTCAGGCCTGGGCTATGCAGTGATTAGATTTTCACTGGGGAAAAAAAAAGAAGAACGTTTTATGGTAAAATAATTTGTGTCTAGAAGGAAGATTGTTCAGGCAGAAGTGGGGTGACGACGCAGATGAGGAAATGGAGGTGTTGCTTTTCACCTACTATAATGACTTAGGCTTGAAGTAAAAAGTTGATGGGACATTTTAGTACATGCTTACCCTCCCAAATAAACTGGATAGTTTCTTCTCTCTCTAAATTGCCATTGTGTGACTCAGAAGTGTTTCTTTTCTCTGAATGGTATCTCTTAATAAAAGAATTTTATTCAAAGTGCTCTAACATATCCTGCTGGTTAAAAAACAATCAAAGGAATCAAACAGCTTCAAGGTCATCACCGTTCGCTTTTACTTGCCATTCTAGGAGAACAGAGATGGGCTTTTTTTCTTTTTTTTTCCCTTCTTTTTTTCCAAACTGGGCAAGGGTGCCAGTTGCAGAGGCACTGGAAGCCCTCAACTGTAGTGTTCTTAACTGTAGAGATGCCACTACAGGTTCTGAGTGTTTCTAGCACACTGCTATCTTCCACTTTCTTCTATTCTTAAAGCATTGAATTCTTTAAGCTCTTACTTTTTTTACTTAGTAAGTGCACAGTTAAATTGTTAAGTGCCGTAAAAGCAGAATGAGACCTCAATCAAGAGGTCAAGGATCCAAACCTGAAGAGTTTGCCAGATAACTCTGTATCTGTGGTATTCAGAGACACAGCCAGTCGTTGCTGTTTGGAAGTGTATGTGTGTGTTAGTAGGAGGAGAAAAAGGAAGGTTAAGGTATGTGTGAAGTAAACACAAGCTGCTATAAAGCAGTTCAAGTAGTGTTGATTCATCAACCATATGAGTGGGAGAGAAAACAAAGAGTCTATGGCAGGTACAGTGGTGCATGGAGAATAAACAGCCATGCAACTTCAGGGCAGTAACCTAAACCCCCTAGAAGCAGGAAGACTTCTGCAGTTCTTTAGGTGGTTTCAATTTCTCGTCATCTCTGTTTTCATGACGTTTTGTTTCTTTTCTGTAGCCATATACTCCTACAGGACAGCTCAGTTAGTATGCAAAATCAGTGACTAGAGTTACGTGCTTCAGTCATCACATACTCCTTTAATAATAATTAATAAAAAGGACTTAGATTTTCCATGAAGGTGGATGGATGATGTAGCAATTCATTTTTCAGGTTGTAATCTGGATACATTAGGTACAACTACAATTTAGAATCTTTGGGACCAGCACCCATATCCATGTGTAACTCTAGAGCTGGTTGTTAGAAAGTAAAAGCAAAAAACAATTCACATGAGCTGTGGTAAACGCAAAATAGGAAGGGGCTTCAAAATAACTTTATTGACGTTGCAAACTAAATGCAGCCTACAGTGTTAAATGTGTTTCCTATTATCTGCTAATGTCTGTTTTAATAAAACAGTGGGAACTAAATGGTTGCTTCTTAATCAAAACCATGATTTCCTAAACATAAGCTATGTGATTCTGTTACAAATTGCCACATATAGATCTCCTAGGTCAAACTTTTTTCCTTTCTCATAGAAATAGATAAACAGTAAAATAATTATACACTCTGCAAGATCAAAGTAATTACAACTGAAGCCAGGCAAAAATAAAAAAGTTCTCTGGAAATAAAAAAAAGAAGAGCATCAGGTTGCTGATTATATAGTTAATGTTTAAATAAATATAAGAAAGTGAACAATCAATAACTTGATATTATTAGCAACAGATGTAAAAGCTGTACACAAATGGGATTGTATCAAATCTCAAGTAAACATTCTCAGTGTGCATTCTGTTGAACTCACTGAAAAAATGGCTAAACTATTTATGCTTGTAATTTAAAAAAAGTTTTCAGTTAGTCCAGCTCAGCATGGTAATTTTGTCTTGTGTCAAGACGATGCTAGAATAAAATTCTGCTTGAATTTTTTCTCCCACCCTGCCCCAGCCCCTTAAGGTTTTAAGACATTCACAGTTTACTCAGCGGCACGAGAGTTAGTATACAGACAGATTTGGGAATTGGCTGTTGTGAGGATGGAGGCTTTTTGTCTCCTCCTGGCTCTGAGCCTACCACTCGGGATATGTGTGAGAACACGAGTAAGTTTATAACAGGATGTCCACTCATTCCAGTCTCCTTGGGATACATGTATATATATTTGAAGGAGAGCTTATATTAACAGAGTTTTAATGGAAAATGTGTGATAGTTGGGAAACAAAAAGCTTACAGTTCTTCTGTGAACTTTTTCTTCCTCTCGTGGACGTCTGTAATTATTTGGGGTGGTAATTAAGCTATCTGGTTTGTATTGTAATTTTGTTGAGAATGTGCACCATGAATGAATTTAATATGAAGCCTTTTTTAAACTCTTTTTACTTACTTTTTAATTTTTCTTCTTTTTGAGGGATGCAAGGCTTTTTAGTACACAGTTGTGCATACATGACAGGGTTTAAGTGTGTTCAAACCTACTTGAATGAAGAATCAGAGTTCCCCCTTTTTAATAAAGGTTACATATTAATTGATGACAACTATACAGCAATGGCTCAGTCCAGTGGTTCTCAAACTGTCTTTCTCCTGCCCAGTCCCACGGGGATGCTCCTCTCAATCTGAGAATCGCTCATCTGGTTTCTCTAGATGCTGAACTTGCTGAAACTGGGAGAAGGTATTCAACGTCGTTGAAATTCCAGATTTGAGTAATTGCTTAAAAGGCTTGCATTGGTTCTTAATTAGATTAGCAAATAGATACACAAATAGAAATAAGAGGTTTTAAGTAACTATATACATATATATACACATATAAGTAACTACACATATATAGGTCCATATTTATAAACTATACATATATGGAGAGAAGTATTTCAGAACTTCGCTGTGCAACTCAGATCACTGTCAAGGGGTAAAACTTGTACCAGTTACCTACTCATTGCCTGGTGTTTTGGGTTCGTAGCATTTAGAATATTTTTTAGCTCTATTTCTCAATAGATATTTCACTTCCAAGTGTCATGCTTTCTATTTTTATCAGGAGGACTATCACTGTATCAAAATTCTTTCACAACTGAAACTCTTAGCTGGTGTGAATTTTTTCTTTTTGCCTGATGACACAACTTAGCTCGGTGGGAGGAAGTTAGGAAGGCAGAGGGGAGAAATAAATATATTGTGAACTTAAAAATAAAAAGACGTATTTTCTTTGTCTGTGAAACATTTCCTTTGCTCCTGCCATCAGTGGCTGTCAAAATATAGCTTTCTGTGGATGTGAGTTTTGAGACTGTGGCTGTCTCAGTTTTTGTGGAATGGTGAGGCTTTTCAGTTTAAAGGAGGAGGACTCAGTTATTTCTATTTCAACAGATCAGGCATGTAAGAAAAAGCTTTCATATCTTCCTTAAATTGAGAATCTGCTTTGGCTGCTCTTTCATTTTTCCAGTATTACTGATTTGTTGTTTGTGTGCTTGTTTTTGAAAGTATGTTTGCTTACTTCCCATAACGGATAGACAGAGCAATCTGTTTTTCTTATTGTGTGTTCTAGAGGCTGTTGTAGGTTGAGAGAGGTTAGAAACAGGATTCAGAAGGGCTCCCAGCTTTCTTATTTCCAGGCTGAAGGAACCTAGGATTGTGACACTGAGATAATGCC